GATGAATGAGTTAATGTTTGTCAAATACTTGAGGCTTCTCAGATGAAAGGCAACATTAAAGTTCAAGAGACCAGAGGCTGACATTACACTAGAGGTGTTGCAGTTGACTCTATATTTGGGCTTCAAAGAAGGAAAGAAATCAAGGCTGCAAAGACACTCCTTTGTGAAGATTGGCACCTTCTGCATTCTTGCTAAAGGCAGACAGATTTATTCTTAACATTCTTTAATTAACTGGATCCCAACATTAGAAATACAAGGATCTTTATATTAGCGCCAGACTCTTGTTATAGTAAGTGGCGCACAGGGCAAAGGATCCTTTTCTCTGCCCTTCTCTAAGTGGCTTTTCCTCCCCAAGCTTCCCTATCGTCTGAGCATGCAATTCTCAGTCTCCTCCTATAGAGGGGCCACATGAAAACTGCCAGCCAACAAGTTTGCTTTGAGCCAACAGACCAAAAAAAAAAGAAAGGTCAAAGACAAAGCTTTATGTGTATGTTGGCAATGCATGTGAATTTAGGCCGCTGGAAAAAAAAAAAATGACCCACACAAAGAGCACATTCATGGCCACATATAGCTCCTCAAACATATAAATAGCCATTCTTGACCCAACACCTACTCTGTGCGAGGCTCTGTGTCGGGAGGGTAACATACAGCATTCCACTGAATTCTCCGCAGATATCCTGGCAAGTTAGATGCTCCTGGGCCCCACTTTGTAGATGAGAGAATTGAGACTCCAAAGGACTGCGAAGTTTGTCCAACATTACCCAGCGAAAAAGTGGTGGAGCTGGAATTCAAACCTAACTACATTTCAAACTCCCAAAGCTGGATCCCCTGCTCCAGCACAATGCTACACAGGAAAGTTGCAGAACTTGCTACACCCCGCTTGGCCTGCTCCAGAAGCACTCCATGGGGCTCAGACAGGGCAGGGTAAATTAAATCAGTAAGGGGAGATCACAAAGTCTTATTTCAAACATTCGGTTTCATCTCCTCTTTACCAAAACCTGTTTTCCCTCGTTCTTTTTGATTCGGCCCAAGCAGTAATGATTTAATTGGCTAATTAAGTATTTCATCTTATCTCTTCCCCTGGCCTTAATCTCTAACAAAGTGCACAGCACAGTTCTGAGGCTTAGAATGAGTTCAAATTCTACAAGGCCCTTGGTGACGAAGAAGTTCAAATGCAGCACAGCAGGTGAAAAAGAACAAGCATATGGAACTCAGGTGGGCTACACTGTGCAATCAAAGGGTTTATGTTTGCTTCCCTGGAGCAAAAAACAGAAACCCTTAATAAGGAGGGAGGACATTAGGGGGGAAAAAAATCCTCATAGTTCTTGACCCCTGGTCCATCCATTCAGGCCAAACACAAATTCTCCTAAAAATTCTGCTTTTTCTCTGGATTCTTTAGGTTCTTCCATATTAAAAGAGTCTAACTGTTCTCTTCCCATGACAGCTGTCCGGCCCACACAGTATGCACAAACCTGAATAACTAAAGTGTGAATAATAACTGTTTAAGCCAATGATGGAAGCTGGGTAAGCAGGGGGATTAGCAGAACCAGCTTCCCTTGAGCCATGCCTCTCATGCAGGGCCTATACCTCCAATAAAACTCCTGTCAAGGGGTTGTTCTTGAGATAAGAGAAGGTGTTTGTGTAGGGGCTTAGATAAACACCACACACTGTACTTTTTCTGCTCCCATGTACTGGCCTGAAGCTCACGGAGGCTGGACCTCTGCCACCTCAGCCAGGACTCAGCCACTGTGAATACTACTACAATCCCACTTCAGCCTGGGGAAGAGGCACCCTTGAAAGGCAACCCACATACAGAAAGCTTCTGCCTGATAAGGAACCTTTCTAGGCGGGATCTGCTGAATCCTGGACCATCAGCCTACAACAAGAGATTCTGTTTTTATCAAGTTTCAGAGGGAGGAAAAGTAATCCTCACAACCTTACGAAAGCAATAACGAGGTTTAAACGTAGAAAAAACAGTAACAAACACACTGACCCGTCCGTGGACTCGTTCTGCACATCATGGCCACCCATGTGGATTAGGCAAAGGAGCATCACGCTGTACAGCTCCCACTCACTAAGGCTATCATTTCCACGGCACAAGCTTTTAACCCCGTCACCAAAAGATAAGCAACTTTAATGCGAGGTTCTGGAATGCTGCAGTATTATGGCCAACTGCTGTCAAGTGCCTCTTTCAAAGGGAATCAAGTGCATTCTAATGAAAACAGGCATGGGCCAATTAGTGCCAATTAAAATTTAGATGGTCACACAACTGCTGCTTGTAGAAACAGCATCAGGCATGGAGGTGTGTCCAAAAAGAGACCTGTGCTCCTCTGGAAACACCTGGTGCTCATAAGCGGGTAATATGCTTCTAGCTTAATTTCTGGTATCTATCATTGATCTATCATACCCCAAATAGCTAGCTTTTTGAGCTCTTTTTTTTTTTTTTTTTGGATGACTCTCATTTTGCACAAGCTGTTTCTTCTACCTGGAATGCACTCTCCTAATCACTCCTGCAGGTAAGCACTCCCTTAGCCCTATAAACTCAGGGCACACCTTACCCCTCACCTCCAGAACCAAGCCTTCCCTGCCTCTCATAGCACTTCTCCCTCACTATGCTGTAATTCATGATCAGCCTGTGGGTTTCCTCCAGGAGGCTGCAGTTAGAGCTTGTTTAAGTGTCTTTGTATCCTGTTTTCCTAGCACAGAGTAGAAGCTCAATACCAGGTTTGTTGAATGAATGGGTGAACCAATCCAGTTTAAGAAATTAACACATTCGTGGAACCCTGTAACCGTATATTCAGCCTGCAGTCTAGAGATTCCTCACCTTCACAAAGAGCCTGCAACAGCCAGTTCCTGGACAGACTGAAGCGCAAACCCCACGATCTCCTTGAATTGTACGTGGGGTTGGGGTTGGGGGGTGACAGGAACTGAAGGAAGTGGAAGGGAATGCTAGGTAGGGGCGCCGCTACCTCACTACTCCCTCAAAAACGGGTGTAAAACCCGCTTATACAAGTATTCAAAACCCAGATTTAGGGATCATGCCAGGGAGAAAGGAGGGGTGTATTAACAACACCCTCAGAACTCGTTAATACTCAGAACTCTGAAAGTCTGAGGTGGAGATCTGTTCTGAAATTATGCGGTCACAGGTTTTCCCTATGAGCCAGCCCGACCACCCAAGTAGGGCCAAGAAGGCCAGAAGTCTGGTGGCATGGCTGGGGCCTAGTGGGAGGGCATAAGAACTTCTCTCCTTCCCAAGATCCTGTCCCCCCAGGGAGGCGGTGGGAAGAGGGGTGTCGGGGAGCAGCGTTCCTCTCCCGCTGGAACAGCAGCAACGTCTGTTCTCTCCTCCTCTGCCCTCACCGCTTGGGTATCTCCAGCTGCCCTTTCCAGGCCCTCGCTCAGTTCCCCAAGAGCAGGGGGAACCGGGAGGAGGGGGCGCGGGGTGGGTTTCTCCGCAAACTCTCCGGACAGCGCTCACCTTCCACCTTAACCAGCCAAATAGGACGTGCGCTTCACGTCGAGCAGCTCCCACCGGGACCGAGAGCGCCCGCGGCCCGGCCACCTCGCGCCCCCGCCGCTCTGCCAGCGTCCCGGGCCGCCGATCGCAAGCTGGCGCTGCCAGCGTTGGCCCCAGTCCTCGACCGGGCGCCCGGAGCGCCGAGGCGGCCCCCAACCTCCCGCCCGACTTCCCCGCCGCAGACGGCGCTTACCTGCTTACATGGCCCCGTCGGTGCCCTGGAGTCCCGCGCGGAAAGCCTGTCCTCCGCGGCGGCGGCGGAGCCCCAATTCCCTAAGGAATTGATTCCAGTGGCTGGCGGAGGAGGGGCGGAGGGAAGGAGCCGGAGGAGGCGAAAGGGGAGGGAGGTTTCCGCTGCGATCCCGGCGCACCGACAAGGAGAAAAGGAGAACCACCTCAGCACGGGGTTGTCCCGCCGGAGGGGGGCCGGGGCCAGGAGGCCCGGGAGGATGGGTGCGCTGGGAGGGGAGGGGCCGCCCGCGGCCACTGGGTGTCTGCGGCTCCCCGAGGACCTGAGCCGGGAGGGCCGGCAGCGGAGCGAGAAGCCGCGCGGCAACCTGCCCCGGGACTGCGCCCGCCGCGCCCGCTCGCCTGGGGGAGAAAAAGTTGGGCAGAACTTTCCCGGGCCGCGAGAGCCCGGGCGGCAGGAAATGCGAGCGGCCGGGAGAGGAGGGAGGAAGGGGCCGTGCGATGGGAGGGGACGGAGCAGGCGCCGGCGGCCGCGGCTCCCCCACCCCCGGGCCGGGCGGCGGCGCGGGGGGCCGGAGGCGGAGGGAGCTCGGGGCGCGCGGCCGGGGCGGGGAGGAATGCGCCCGGGAGGCGCGCGCGGCTGGGCGGCCGGGGAGCGGCGGGGGGGAGCGGGCCGGGGGGGCGTCTGCGCGGGGGAGCGCCGAAACTTGGAGCCCGAGCTCCCGGGCTGGAGGCGCGCCGGCCTTGGGGACGTCACAGCGCTGGAATCCGAGGAATGCCGGGCGGCAGGAGCTCCGTGTACAGGCCCGGGAGAAGTCGCGCACTTTCGGTGCAGGGGCTTTGGGAAATGTTTAAAGGTGAGGGCTGAGGAGGGAGGACGGGTGAAACTCCCTGGAGTCAGAGACGTGGGAGTGGAGGAGGAAAAGCGACCACAGCCGGCACGACCTAGCGCCGCCCCCGGCGGGGGCAGGGAGGGGGGCGGGAAGGAAAAAATCCCACTTCGAAAACCGCAGGGGCAGGGCAGAGGCCGCGACTGGCCCGCTCCGGCCGTGGGCAGGGACAGTCCGTCTCATTTGGGGGAAACCCTCGGAGCCGGACGACCCCAGGCAGCCACTGTACGGAGGGGAGACAGCCCAGGAGAAAGTAAGGTGACTTCCCCGAGAAGGCAATCCCAGGGTTCTCTCTCCGGGACACCAGGAGTCTCTGCGTCCTGGATCTGGGGTTCTTAACCCCACCCCCCAGGACTCCCCCAGCGCCCGCGATCGCAAAAGCAGTTTCTGTGTGCTAGGAGCTGGAAGATGTCGTTTCCCCGGTTCTTTCCGTGCCGCAGCCTCGCTCCACCCTGCCTGGGTGGGCACTGGGAGGGAACTTCCTTAGCACTTTCAGAGGTGGAGTTAGGGCGGCGCAGCTGCGTGCTGGAAAAAGCACCCAGCCAGACGAGGGAACCTGGGTTTAGGACCTGCCCTGCCCGTGACCGAAGGGATGATTGAGGAGTATCCCAGCCCCAGAAAGCCTTGGTTTCTGTAGCTGTAAAATCGTTTTCCTAATATTTTCTATTTCTCCGTGGTCCTTCGCGTGGCCAAAAACATGCCTTATGGGTCTGTTATCCAACCGACAACCCAGTCTGGGGTCTGACAACCCAGTTCTTTCAACCTTTATTAGGTTGAAGAAGGTCCTTGAATCATTGTCACAGAAGATGTTCCAAATGACTTCAGTGTCTCACAACTCATACAAAAATCGGATCTCTTGGGGAAGAGAACTGGGAACCAAAAAGCAAAACCTGTTGTGCCCATCATGTACCAGTTTGTGGTGACTCTGACTTCTCCAAGTATCTGCCAACCTCCAGAACAATAAAGAAGTCGAGAAGGCCCCACAGGGATGGAAGGAAGAGGCTGCAGAGAATTAAACGTCAGTTTCTCAAACTTTCAAGGACATAGCTGGATAGCTTCAGTATGGACTTGCTGGATTTCCAAAAAAAAAAAAAAAGTGCCGAATGCTTTACTGTGTTCCGGGAAGCATTGAAAGCACTTTTTATGTGCACTTGTATTATTATCCCATTTCCTAGATGAGAAAAGTGAGGACTGAAGAAATCACCTGTCTTACCAAGGGTCCCACAGCTTGTGAAATAATAGGATAATAGATCCTACTCTGGCCCCAAAACACAAGCTCTTAAATTCTTCAAAATTTGACCAAAATAGGATTAAAATCATAAATAAGGAAATACCTGCAGGCTCTCACAGGAATACAGATGAGAGGCCTTTGGGGCCTTAGAGGAAAAGATGTGGCATTGGTGTATTGTCACTCTGTGATATTGAACTCCAAGCACAGCATGCCGAGACAGTTGGGGTGTTAGAAGAGTAAAGTTTGCATGTAGCCATACAATTCTGGTTCTGCCTCTGACCAGCCACATGACCCTGAACAAGCCACTTCACCCCTAGGCCTAAGTTTATTTTTTAAGTGGAGTGTGACATGGAGGTCAGAGTTTGGTTGAATTGCTTCATCTCTGAGGTCTTTCCTGGGTCTGAACTTGAATGAACGTATACTCCTCCAGGCAGATGGCATGCCTATGGAGGAAGCTCAGTGATAAAGCCAGGATGTCTTGGGGAGAGGACTGTTTTCACTCTGCCTTTGGAATCAAAATGAATGTTGGGAATGCTGCTGAGTGTTCCATGGCCAAAACAAAACACACACAAACACACCAAGATTTAGCACTAAGTCTGTGGCCTCATTTTAATTTAAATAATTTTACTTCTAAATTAAAAAAAAACACACACACACACTATCAATTTAAAAGCCCATATAACAAAAAATAAAAATAAAAAATAAAAGCCCATATAAAGTACATCTGACCAGCCGCTTTTCTCTTTCTTTAGAATAGATCGCAGAAAAGCAATACTACAAGTTACATTTTTTAAATAGGATGTCCAATGCGAAGTGAAGAAAGCCTTTCATTCTCTAAATAAATATATAAAAACTAGTCACACGCTACTTTCAAAAAAACTGAAAAAAAATTTCCTAAGTCTACATCACACTCAAGTCTCCTTAATATGCGTCAGAGGGAACAGGATGGTTGATGGCCTGGGTCCCAAACACATCACTGCAGATTGACTTTATAACTTTGCAGTTTTAGGAACTTGTCAATATTAGATAGCCCCCAAAATACTTCAACTGTCCTAAGCCTGACTCAAACTATAAATACAGGCAGAATTTCATGGGCCTTCATGATACCTCTCACCTTCAATATATTCCTCATACTAATTTATTAATTTTATACCTTCAGAAACACTGAAATCACTTGAAAGCAAAACAAAACAAGTTCACCAAAAGTGAGCAGACCTTTTTAGGAAAACTAATGATCTTTAGGGACCTTCTACAAATGTTAAAATCGTATATATTATTTGTGTATTTGTTTTTATCCTTTCTCTAATACCAATTCCTAATAGAATATTTGAAAGCTTACAATAATAGTGGGAAAGAATAATGGGGAGCTTTTTAAAAATACACATGCTCTCTGTATCCCCTACTCCCCATATCTTACTCATCTTAGTCCCTGAGTCTAGGGTGGAGGCTTTGGTTGGTATCTGTATATGTGTATCTATCATTTTTTTAGACAGTATTTTATTGAGACATAATTCACATTCAATCAAAAGCACAATCCTAAGTGTACACACTTGATGATTTTTTTCATATACATCCATATGACCACCACCCAGTTCAAGATATAGAAAATGTCCATCAGCATAAAAATTTCCCTCCTGTGACTTTTCAGTCAGTATCAGCTTGCCAAGCTAACTTCTACCAGTAGTTTTGCTAGTTCTCAAACTTCATATAAACAGAATTACAGTGTGTGTGTGTGTGTGTGTGTGTATACATATAACAATTTGCTTATCCATTCTCCTGTTGATGTATTGGACAGGTCTATTTTGAAAACATTTCCCAAGTAATTCTGTTATCCTGGCCCCCTCTAACTCAGAACCACTGACTTAACAGCAAAAATGTAATAAAATAAGCCTAGCTCATTAACACCTACAAAGACATTAAGCAACAGAGAAGGAAAGAAAGAGAACACTTTGGGAGAACCAAATGTAAGAGTGCTTTAATCGTAGCATACATCCAGAGCTCCTTGTTAATGAGAACAAATTAGCAAATTGTGATATGAACTTCTTGTTATCTAGTGATTTTTTTCAAGCTACATGATTCTGCAGAGCTATTGTGTATAGCCACACTCTAGAAAGAGTAATTCACATGCATAATTGGTACTTTCGGCAAGATTTAAAGTACACAATGCCACTCCATGAGCTAGAATAGTCTGGAGTGTGAATGGCGTCCTCTAGAGTTGTACCATGTGGTGACCATGGTATTACAAGTTCTCCCTTTAGAAATTGTTTCATGGTACCTGCTTTAGAAAAATCATTTCTGAAACAGGCGACTGAGCCCTTCTTCCCTCCTGGTGCATCTTTGAGGGGGAGAGAAGTGGCCACAGCCCAGCCTTTCCCCAGGTCGACTAAGCCAGTAAGTCACATTCTTCTCAAATATTGATAAAATAATGAGAGACTTTTGTGGAAGTATAGATTAGATGAAAGTGCCAAACGTTTATTTGGATTTGCTCTCCAGGCTCTTTTGGAGGCTCTCCATACCTGCACCCTTTTATGTTACATACTTCTCCAGTTCATCATCTGTCCTAATGTCTCATGCTGTCATTCCTGCCGCACCCTCCTCTCTGGCCACTGAGCCTTGTGGTCATTTCTTCTCCATTTTATTTCTCTTTCCTTTACCCACTTCTCAGGAGAAGGCTCTCTGCTTCCCAAAGGGACGGACGACTCCCTGACCTGAGCCAAAGAAGAAAGGGCCCCCATTCCCATGCCTGTCAACCTAAGCCACAAGTGAATTATTGCCTTGTTACTTCCTTCTGGAAAGAATGTCAAACATTTTTATGTTGTATTTTTTTCAGGCTGGAAGGAGAAAGATGAATATGTCCTCCTGAGACACTTTGCCAGCTCCTCTGGTAACTACAGTTGACCACATGGGCAGTGATCTCAGTTAGCTATCTGGACGTCAGGCAGATTCACTCGAGGCAGATCCCTAGTTTTTGCAATGAAAATGCACAAGATTCAGCCAGTTGGTTTCTCTTTAAAAAGTCTATACAATAGCAGTGTATATTTATATTTATCAAGTACACTCTGGAAAGAGTAATTCACATGCATAATTGGTACTTTCAGCAAGATTTAAAAGAAATGTATTCATTATCCTCCTCTACTAATTTCATCTGGGCTTGCAAACCCTTTGAATCATGTTTTAAAGGTCCAAGCTTCCTGATCATATTCACCTGACTCAGCTTGCTGACTTTCCCCACCTCCCCCAGCCCTAATATTATCTTCCAGCTTTTCAGGCTTGATAGGAAACACATAGCTTATCTCCCTACACACTGGCATATACACGCACACATCAAATCACCGCAACCTCTGTGCAGCGTGCTGCTAATGAAAAGCTTACCCAAGCCTTATTGCTCAAAATTGTGTTAGGTGGAAAAGGAGGCTTTTACTGCTCCTGCAATCTCTTCTAGGAGAGCTTCGTCATTGTGATTTAAACAATTTTAAACTTTATAATAGAATAGAGTCATTTAAAGAAGAAAACATTTTTCATAGTCACTTACATATGGTTTTTAATCTTAAAAACATACTCTAATGTTGAGTGCAGCAGATCTAGTAGGCAAGGTCAACTGTCTTAGTATAAGCTCCCTCAGTTTAAGAACAAAACCCCACTTCAGATTGTTCAAGCAAAAAAGGAATATATTGGCAGGATGCTGAAACATGTCATGGAATCCATGAGAAAGAAGGGTGGGACCAAAGAACCATGAGGGTACTCTGCTTTTCTCCCTCTGTCTGGGGGTACTATCCTCAACTTTTGCCCATATCCAGGCTTAATAGCTATGTGACCCTGGGCAAATAACTCTCACCTGAATTTCCTCAAAAAGGGGAGTGATGTAAAAAGGGGAAATGACAAACATACCTACTTTGTAGAGTTGTAGCAATGGTTAAATTAGTCAATATGTGAAAAATTCTTAGAACAGTACCTGATATACACTGAGCTCTCAGTATGTTACCTATCAATATTATCATTAACCTCATTCTACTTCTGCAGGCTGGTTTTCTCTCCTTCAGCAGGGACTGGATCTCAAATCCAAATTCTCAAGAGAAAGAACATGGCTTGAGTTGAGTTGTCAACCCAGGATCTTGGAGAAGGACCAGGCTGCTGTGGTTGGACCCAGCCCTTTGTGTGGGAAGAACAGTTCCCAGAAAGGAGAGAATGGCTGGAAGAGAGGGGGCCCACAATGGGGAAACCACACCAGTAAGGGAACGGAGAAATTTTTTTTACCAAACTGAAGTCTTAGGAATCCCTCTGTTTACTCTGTAACTATCTACACCATCTATGCAAAGGGCCAAACCTGGCTCCCCATGTGTAGAGAAGAAAGTGACCCACTAGGGAGGGAAATGACCTAGGGTAGAAGGTAAGGGAACCAATATCCACTGAGCATTGGCTATGCTCTAGGTAGACTAGGTCCCGTGAATATATAATCTGAAGTAATCCTTGTGACAGTGTTTGAGTATTATAAACTGAATTGTGTTCCTCCAAAATTCATATGTTGAAGTCCTAACCCCCAATATGACCATATTTGTAAGTAAGACCTTTATGGAGATATTTAAGGTTAAATGAGGTCATAAGAGTGAGGCCCTAATCCAATAGGACCAGTATCCTTCTAACCGGAGGGAAAGACAACAGAGTTCCTCTCTCTCTATGCAGGCATAGAAGAAGGGCCATGTGAGAACATAGCAAGAAAGAGAGCAAGGAGAAAGATCTCCCCAGAAATTAACTCTGCCAGCACCTTAACCATGGACTTCCAGCCTCCAGAACTGTAAGAAAATCACTACCTGTTGTTTAAGCCCCATAGTCTGTAGTACTTTGTTATGGCGGCCTGGGCAGACTAATATACTCAGGTTACTGTTTGTTGTTGCTTCGCAGAGAAATAAATTGAGACCTCACAACATTATGTACCTTGTACTTAGACATGTACTAAGACAGTAAGTGCCTAAGTGAATGGTAGAACCAAGATTCACACCTCCTCATTTCTCCTTCTGAAGTTCGTGTTCATTTTCATCCATCGTGTTGCTGCAAAGTTTATCAAATACCACTGTATGTCAGGACTGGGGTTAGGTGGTGGCTGAAATTGGATGGGATGGTAAAAGCAGGGGTAATAAAAACGTCAGGATAGAGTGTGTTCTAAGTTTCCACGACAGTGATTTACCAGGGGACAGCTCTACCTGGCTGATATTAAATTGTGCTAATGAGAAGACACATAGCCAGAGTCTTTGTCTACAATTATTTCAAATCCTTCCTTTCCCAGGTATATACACCTGAGTGTATACAGCAAAAGGGGAAATGGAAGTGCTGTTAGATCAGACAGCAGATTCTTTCAAAGAACATTAATACCTTGCTACTGTTTGTTCCATTGGCTCCTGAGATGCCTAGAGTTAATGTTCTCACCTCCTAGCCTCATGAGGTCCAGCAAGTTGCAAGTCGGGTCCATGGTCCTTCTAGCACACAAGAGGTTGCTTTTGACTGGCATGAGGTCACACTTTCTGGGAGTGTGGAGGAGTCATTTCTGCTCATGACAGCAATCTCAAAAAGTCAGAAATACCCTAATTTCTAAGAATAGTTAGTTATGAATATCCCATCCATGAACTGAACATTTTTTCATCCTGTGTATATCCCTACCTTGCCCAGCTCTTAGGAAGGTACACTGCTATAGAATTTGCCATGGCTGGCCAAGGAGCCATCAACACCCTCCCTGAGCTGCATGAGGGCAGGTACATGATAGCTATAATTATCCCCATTTAATCTTCTCCAAAATATCTGCCTGTTGCCATTTTGTGGTGTGATAGTGGGACTAGGTGCCAGGTGGCTAAGAATAACTGGGATAGAAAAATTCTGAGTGCAATCTTAAAATTATTGTTGATGGGAGATAAAGTGTTGGTTAGGCACACTATTATGGGATGTCAAGTCAGCCAGGACATTTCTGAGTAAAAAACGTCTATAGACTCCCCTCTACATGATGTACATTTTTCACTCCTTTCCCACCATCCTCAGAAGAAAAATATTTGGAGCTAGGGGGCCTGTCTTGACCTTCTCATAATTATGGTGTTCAGAATACAGGGGCCAGTCCAGATATGGCTCTCTTTGTGACGTTGTCTACATTTGCTAGTATTTCTAGCTACACAAAACCTCCCAAACTGTATCCAATGGGAGGAAGCTGGGCTACCCTCTTCTGGGCCACTGGCTTTTCTCCTTCTGGGAGTCCTAGATGACAAATCTAAATAAAGCCCCATAGGTGGCAATTCATTAGTTTATTTTTCCCCCCACATCTCCTTAGTTCTGGGCTTATTTTTTAAATGTAATTTCAACACCCAGATGACATTGTCAACAAGTAATAATGCAAACTGAACTACCAGATTGAGGGACGTGAGGAATGGACAGCCTCCTGGACAGACTGCAAATCCAGAGATGACTAAAAAGTAAAACAAGAACACGGGGCATTGGTTTCTGACATGGGAAGCTACAGCCAGCACCCCCTCGGAGAGGTATAGGACGGGAAAGGAACCTTCTGCTGTGATTAGCGAAAAGGAACAAACTTCTCTGGGGGAGGGAAGGATCGGGTCGTGTTTAGGATGCCTTTCTAAAGAACATGGGCACCTCGGCCTGCAGGGGTGAGATAGGGTTACGTACGCGTATGGGCAGGGCTGTGTAAGAGAATCCAACAGCACTAAATCAAGCCCTCCCCTAGGACCTGGCTGCTTCCTGGCCACCTCCCCTAGACTAAGGGGTGACTCAGAGTGGGCCTGGCTCTGGGACTTCAAACATTTCTGAGTAATTCCCACGGACCTGGACAAGGGCAATTAGAGGACTGGTTTAGAATGACCACTGTGGATCAAAAGATACTTCCTGTGGCCAGCAGGCAGAAGGCAATTGCCTAGGAAGCTCGATTTTGAGGTGTCTTCTGCTCAACCAGAAGGCAGAGGTGTCTTCTAACATACTAAGTTGTAGGGGCTAGAAAGAATTTACTAACATAAGAGGGCACACACTGGGCTTCCCTCCATGGTTGGCACCCCTGATTTAGCAGAGTTCGCAAAGACAAAGTTTTCAAGTGGTGAAAGAGAACCCGAATTTCTAGCGACAGATGAAGACCCAAATGATCTAGCCATTGGCTACCTCTCTTATCTAATTTCCAACTACTCTTCCCTGGCTCACTCCACTCCCAAGCAAGATACTGGCATTCTGCCATTCCTTGAACATGCCGAGTACGCTCCCACCTCAGGATCTTTGCACTTGCTGTCCACCCCACACCCCCACCCCCACTCCCACCATAAACTCTACTCCTCCAGATGTTTCCAGTCTCCAGACTGGCATCTGACGTAGTAGACCCAAGGCAGTAAATAGTCGTCCAGGGTACATACTTCAGCTTGCTTATCTGGGCTGACCTCCTGGCTTTGTCATTCACTAGCCGTGTGACATTAGAAAATTCTTGGTCATTATTGCTTGAACTATTGGCCTCCTTCCATTTCCTTTTGTTCTTCTGGTGTCCCTAACAAATGGACTTTGACACTTGTCTGATTCCCCAAATTTCTTTTCTCTTTCCTTCCCATTCTTTACCCTATCCTTTCCCAATGCCTCCTGCGAAAATTCTGTGGCCTCATCCCCCAGTTCAAATATTTATTTGATACTTTTATTATTTAAACAATCCATTGAATTCTTTATTCCATAATTATAGGACTCTTTAAAGTTTAACTTTATTTTTTCAGCTTTCTTGAGGTATAATTGACAAATAAAATTGTAAGATATTTCAAGGGTACAATGTGATGATCTGATATATATGTGCATTCAGCTAATACATCTATCATCTCGCATACTTACTTTTTAAAAATTTTTTTATTGTTACGTTAATCACCGTTCATTACATAGTTTTTGATGTAGTGTTCCATGATTCATTGTTTGTGCATAACACCCAGTGCTCCATGCAGAACGTGCCCTCTTTAATCACCAGGCTAACCCATCCTCCCATCCCCCTCCCCTCTAGAACCCTCAGTTTGTTTTTCACAGTCCATTGTCTCTCATGGTTCATCTCCCCCTCCGATTTCCCCCCCTTCATTCTTCCCCTCCTGCTATCTTCTTCTTTTTTTTTTTTTCAACATATATTGCATTATTTGTTTCAGAGGTACAGATCTGTGATTCAATAGTCTTGCACAATTCACAGCGCTCACCATAGCACATACCCTCCCCAGTGTCTATCACCCAGCCACCCCATCCCTCCCACCCCACCCCCCACTCCAGCAACCCTCAGTTTGTTTCCTGAGATTAAGAATTCCTCATATCAGTGAGGTCATATGATACATGTCTTTCTCTGATTGACTTATTTCGTTCAGCATAACACCGTCCAGTTCCATCCACGTCGTTGCAAATGGCAAGATCTCATTCCTTTTGATGGCTGCATAATATTCCATTGTATATATATACCACCTCTTCTTTATCCATTCATCTGTTGATGGACATCTTGGCTCTTTCCACAGTTTGGCTATTGTGGACATTGCTGCTATAAACATCGGGGTGCACGTACCCCTTCGGATCCCTGCATTTGTATCTTTGGGTGAAATACCCAGTAGTGCAATTGCTGGATCATATGGTAGCTCTATTTTCAACTTTTTGAGGAACCTCCATACTGTTTTCCAGAGTGGCTGCACCAGCTTGCATTCCCACCAACAGTGTAGGAGGGTTCCCCTTTCTCTGCATCCCTGCCAACATCTGTCATTTCCTGACTTATTAATTTTAGCCATTCTGACTGGTGTGAGGTGGTATCTCATTGAGGTTTTGATTTGGATTTCCCTGATCGCATACTTACTTTTGTGTGTGTGTGAGAGAACATTTTTAGTTCTACTCTCTTAGCAAATTCCAATTATACAATACACTGTTATCAACTATAGTCACTATTTTATACATTAGATTCTCAGACCTTATTCGTCTTATAACTGAAATTTCGTACCCTTTTACCAAACTCTCCCTATTTTCCCCAGACCCCGGCCACTGGCAACCACTGTTCTACTCTCCGTTTCTACTAGTTTAACTTTTTTTTTAGATTCTACATACAAATGATATTGTGCAGTACTATCTTTCCCTGTCTGGCAGAATTCATTCTTAATAATTTTTTAAAAGATTTTATTTATTTATTTGAGAGAGAGAGCATCAGAGAGAGAGAGCACACACAAGTGGGGGGGAGGGGCAGAGGGACAGGGAGAAGCAGACTCCCCACTAAGCAGGGAGCCTGATGTGGGGCTCAATCCCAGGACCCTGAATCATGACTTGAGCCGAAGGCAGATGCTTAACCAACCGAACCACCCAGGCACCCACATTCTTTTTTTTTTCTTTTTAAGATTTTATTTATTTATTTGAGGGAGAGAGAATGAGAGACAGAGAGCATGAGAGGGAGGAGGGTCAGAGGGAGAAGCAGACTCCCTGCCGAGCAGGGAGCCCGATGCGGGACTCGATCCCGGGACTCCAGGATCATGACCTGAGCCGAAGGCAGTCGCTTAACCAACTGAGCCATCCAGGCGCCCGGCACCCACATTCTTAATAATTCTAATTCCTGTATTCAGCTGCTTGTTCTCACTTTCTGTTCCCAGTAAATTCTCTCATCTCTTCAAGTATATTTATTATTCTGGCTTTAACTTCTGTTTCTGTTTTCCATGAGCTCTGCTTTCTCTGGCATAAGTTGTTCAGTTTGTTCTCCAAATTTACAGTTCTCAGAATCTGCTGTCTGAGTTCAGCCTTGTTCCTTCGGAGCCTTGAGCTGCCTTGATTCATAAACTG